TCAATTTTTAGAATCAAACAAACACTCAATTCTCCCTTGCGTGTCATTAGTGCTTTTACAGCCAGTCTCTTTCTAGAAGATTAGGTGTGTTGTAAATACGACCTCCTCCTCTTTTATTTTTTCGAGCTCAACCGTATAAATTAAAGTTTTAAGTTGGGTTCAAGGAGTCTTAAGCCAAGACACTTGTTCTCGTATCACTCTCTGTCTCTGCTAATAGCAGTCAGAAACGCGTCTAGTAACAGTTTCTGTTTGTTATTCACCAAGGATGTTTCATTTTAATTTGTTCTTTATAGATTGCATTTGAAATTAAACTTGTTTTTACTCACTTTATAAAGAAAAACATTATGATTTTTTTGAAATAAGTTTTCTCGAAATAGCAGCTGAAGTCACCCAGAAGCAAGCTTTGCAATAAACTGCTGCTGTTCAATATATTTTTTCGAGAAAATTCCAATTCTAAGAGAATGTTGAGATACGTTATTCCTTCATTTACAAATCTGACTGAGAGATAACTTTGTTTGTCTTCTGCATGCCATAAACTACTATCGTCGTAAAAATAAAAGGCGGCTCACTATATTCTCAATAACTTTTTAAAGAAAAGAGATAGCAACCTGCAGTCTTCAGATTATGAAAGTAGACAATTTGTGCTACATATCCATGTGAAAACTGAAGTCCGCGGACCGCCTGCAGGTGCTAAGCCATGCGACTCTTCCAAAGACATGGTTGGTAAGGTACCTTAAGAAAAGAATTTTTTTCGTTCTGTTTGGGTTTCGAACAACTGACCCTTGCCCTACAAAGCCATAAACCTTTTCCTTAGTTTCTCCTTGTCCTCCCGGACAATTCGCGGGTTTCTAAGGACCCACCCAAAGCACGCTTTCTTCACTTCTACCCGAGTGAAAATATTCTACATATAGGTTTTTCACGACGCTGATTCACGTGGCATCATTTTCAACTCAACAGGAATATTTTTTGATCGACAAAAAGTTAAATAAATAAAAGTCAAATAAAAGCTAAATAAATGTCTGATATGTGACAGGATATGTATCAATGAACAAAAACTAATATACAAATGTAGTACCTAACGTCTTTTAGCTGAAGTTCTTTTAAACACTGCTGGCGTTAACTCACTGGCAAAACAATACAAGTTAAAAAGATGATTGAAAAAAGTATTTGAAATCAGCATTTTTGATACGTTTTGCAGGAAATCTAACGGTCTTTAAGGATCTGCACTATACTAGTTTGCAAGACATACTTGGTAGGAAGCTATTATCTTGAACAAGCATAGTGTGTACGTACACAGTGCTTCTTAGTTCAAAGCTGTAGATTTTGAGATATGTTGACTAGTCAAACAATTTCATTAATAGCGAAAGATGAAGTTGTGGTAAATGTCTATTGTTAACTATGTAATTGTTTTGTACATGTTTTAGGATTGGTTTGGATATCGTCTTCGGAAATTTTATTCTACAGCAGAGTTAATTCAAGTGTTAAGATACGAATATAGTAGAAAATTTGGTTGAGAATTCTACAAGTGAAATCTCTTGCAAGACACTGTAGCTGGTTTTGTATCCAGTTTTAGATGTATGTGGGTTACAAAATGTTTACATTGTAAAAATAAAATTACCATGAATGGAGAAAGGCTCTAGAGAGGGTAAAATTCCTTGAAAATTATAATGTCCGAAGCACAAATCTGAACAACTCTCTTCACAATGTGACTCTGTAATGCAAAAGAGATTACGATCTACTATCTAAAAATCCTCACAAATCTCGTTCTTCAACTCTTTTAATCATTTATTTTCATTCATACATGCTCAAGACAAATATAAAATAGTGTCTGAAACGCATTAATATTGTCCCATGTTTGACTAATTTAGGATCAAAAGAAATCATGGCTCTTTTTTGAACAAGTAAATGCAGCTGACCAACTATTACACTATTTATACCCTTAGGTGACAATGATCACATCTACTAAGAACGTTCTTTCTGTTTCTCTCTTTTATTGTATAACTTTCACCAAGGAATGAAAAGTACTTTGTATGACTTTTTCGAAATATGTGGAGAAGGAGAAAAAGAATTGATGTTAGAGTCACATTCTATTTTACACTGGAAAACTACTATCCGTTCCAAAATACAAGAGCACTGATCATTTTTTGAATAACTTTTGACAGAAGATAGGTAGATAGCTGCGGTTTTCAGTATTTGATAGCCAAGACCTGTACGCATCTTTCCATAAGATTTTTGAAAAAATTGAAAGACCGGATTTTGAGCAGATCTTTGGAAAACCAGTGTGGATCTCTGACAACTGTCATAGAAATAGATCGATCTTTCTTCATTGATAGATAGTCCAAAGTGTCCTCTCCAAAATGGGAGTCAAGCAAACTCTGAATGTTTTCTGGTTCAGGCGTGGAATGGGATTTCCAATGTCAAACTGAATGCAGGCAAATAAAATCAATGGTTTTCTTTACGTTCGTTGTTGTTGGTTTAATACCACCTTGAGTGATGCGGAAGCCAAGATAGTCGAGTTGTTTTCGTGCCAATGAACATTTGCCTGCATTCAGTTTGACATTGGCTTTTTCTAATGCGTCTAGTACGAGGTCCAGATGTTGTACGTGTTTGTTGAACGATGGTGGGTATATGATTATGTCATCCAGATATACCAGTGTTATATCCCACCGTAATGCACCCAACACCGAGTTAATTATGCGTTGGAATGTGGCGGGGGCGTTGGATAGACCAAATGGGGTACATTGAATTCGTACAAGCCATCGATTGTCTTCTTTTTGTCTTGTTCATCAATGGGAATCTGCCAGTATCCCGCTTTGAGATCGAGGGTTGTAAAATATTTTGATCCCGCTAATTTGTCGATAATGTCGTCAATTCGTGGTAGCGGATACACATCCCGTTCAGTAATCAAATTCGAACGTCTATAATCCACACAAAAACGAGGACTACCGTCCTTTTTCTTGATAATAACGACCGGTGACGACCATGGGCTTGAACTAGGACGGATCACACGGTCACTCAACATTTCTTTTACTTGCTCGTTCATTATTTGTGTTTCCTTGGCTGACTTCCGATACAGATACGACTGAATCGGTTGATGATGGGGCAGAATCGGTATACGATGATATACGTTGTTGANCGTGTCGAATACGGATTTATGCTTGACGAGAACTGGACGGATTTGCTGCTGTTGAGCTTGTGGGAGGTGTGATATAAGCTCTTGTATTGCACTGGTAATCGATAACGTTGGTTTTTGTTGCATCGGATGAGATGTGATGGCTGAGATCCTAGGATGGTGATCATGTGGCAGATCTGGATTAACGTAACAACATTTGTTTTCTTGGTGCCACCTGACATGACCTAAATTCGTGCCTTTCGGAATTGTCTTTATCGATG